TCCCGGCAGGCACCGCGCGGAGCTGCCCTTTCAGCCAGTGTCTGGGCGCCTCTCGCTGGAGCGTGGCGCTGGCAGGAGGATCGTCCCTGCTCCCACCTCCGGGTCCTAGTGCCCCCACCTGCTGCAATGTTACACTCTGCCGCCGGTAGCGGTCCCTGGCGTCTAAACTCTGGTCCCTTGGGCTGCCCAGCCCCGGCTCTGCTGCAGGGCGTGAGAGGTAGCCTGTCCCAATCTGCCGCCTTTGTGACATAGTGGTAGCCAGCCTGGCATAGTCTGCTGGCTCTGCCCTCCCCCATCCTCTGGTGGCGGGTAGGGTTGCCAACTTTCGAAGTGCACAAAAACCAAACACCCTAGCCCTGCCCCAGGCCCCATCCCCACTCACTATGTTTCCCCTCCCTTGGTGGCTCACTCTCCCACACCCTCACTCACTTTCAGGGGTCTGGAGCAGGGGGTTGGGGTGCAGGAGGGGGTGAGGGCTCTAACTGGGGGTGCAGGCTCCAGGGTGGGATCAGAAATGAGGGGTTAAGGGTGTGGGAGGGGGCTCTGGGCTGGGGCAAGGGGTTGGGGTTCAGCGTGCGTGAGAGCTCTGGCTGGGGGTGCAGGCTCTGGGGTGAGGCCAGGGATGAGGGATTTGGGGTGCGGGAGGGGGCTCAGGGCTGGGGGAGGGGATTGGGGTGCAAGCTTACCTCGGTCAGCTCCCAGTCAGCAGCGCAGTGGGACAAAGGCAGGCTCCCTGCCTGTCCTGGCTTTGCGCTGCGCCCCAGAAGTAGCCAGCAGCAGGTCCAGCTCCCACGTGAGGGCCAGGAGGCTCCACACATGCTGCTCTCACCCTCAGGCACCACCCCGCAGCTCCCATTGGCCATGGTTCCCAGTAATGGGAATGCCGAGCTGGTGCTCGGGGCGGGGACAGCGCGCTGAGCCTGTGGCCTCACCACATAGGAGCCGGACCTGCTCGCTGCTTCTGGGGTGCAGCGCGGTGCCAGGACAGGTAAGAACTACCCTGCCTTAGCCCTGCAGCACCGCTGACCAGAGTTTTAATGGCCCGGGTGGCAGTGCTGGCCAGAGCCACCAGAGCTACCAGGGTTGAAAACTGGACACCTGGCAACCCTATGGGTGGTATGTGCCCATCACACTGAACTAGATGACCTA